GCAGAAGCTGATATATCGTGCGGCACGAGCTAATCCAAAAATACTATACGAAGACCTTGCTAAAGTCGCCGTCTTTGTGCACCCAGATAGCATCCCTTCGAAGGCTCCCAGCCGCCGAACATTATATACAGTCCTCAAACGTCGAAAATTAACTAAGCACCGCTGAAAAAACGACCCAAGTTAACCCCTAAGCAAGCTCGTCGGCGCTATAGATTCGCATGTCGGTACCGTGGTTTTCCTTGGCATCGGCGCACGGTCAAGTTCTTAGATGAGTGCTTAGTTCAGAAGGGATCGGGTGGCATACAGGAATGGTGTTTTCGATATCCACCCCTTAGCTGGCCAGCTTACTCACCAAATCTCAATCCTATTGAGCACATCTGGTGGATCCTTAAACGAAACATGAGTCGCTTCTATCCACAATATAGCAATTAACTACAGCAAATCTCAGGAACAGTTAGATGGTTTTTGTAAGGCACTAAAAGAGTGCTGACGGAGGATACCAAGTAGTCAAATCAAGGCACTCATTGAGTCAATGCCGCGACGCCTCCGCGCAACGCGCCAAGCGCGAGGCTGGCAACCTAAATAGTATAGATAAATCGATTGCATTTTTCAAATTCAAAGAATATGAAGCACTGGTGTCAACATTTGGTGGTGGGTCGATTTCGGTTAGCGAGGTGAAACTTTTTGCCTAGTACTGTACTGCCGTAATTTTTTTAACTTCGTACTTGATTAGGATGGTACTTAACTATTTTGGCAGTAAATTAAAGCTTGTGTTCTGTATATCCAGCTTGAAACTTAGTGTTGTAAAGGGCTACGCCGTGACTAGAACACGTGACTGTATCATGTGCCTTCTCTCAAGATACTTAGTCACGGGAACTTCTTCGCACGAAAGATCTTAGGGCGAAGGTATAAAGTAGAAGATGTCGTACAATGACTTTACTGTTCTTGTCTTTCTTCCTTTGTACCATAGGTTGATGTACACTCGTTCGAAGGCCTCTTCGCCCATAACAAGTGCTATGATAGTCTGTCGTCTATGACCTTAGATCCTCTCTTGACCTAGTGGTCGACGAGGTCGCTGTGGCTAATGCGTATGGCGAGAGGGCGTTGTTGAAACGCACAACGTCGTCGTCAATTTCGCCCCTAGTATATAATACTACGTATGATGAGGTAGGCTATGCCTACCTTATCAAGGCTAGAAGGGAGAAGGAAATGTAGTGGACGTTATAAGTAGCAGTTGTAACGATGTTACAACTCCGACATGTACTAAACCCATCACAGAGCCGGATCGGAGGAAATATCCGCCGCCGCCGCCTTCGTCAGCTATTCGTTAGTGAGTCGGATCCGGTTCGGACGCGGCTAGGACAGGTATATATGGAGACACTCCCTGTAGCTAGCTCTGTAGACTTTTGATATCCTTTCGTACAAGGCATCGCCTGCCTACCACCCAGCTACGCCGATGTAGAGATGTCGAAGAAAGTGCTTTCTGCGGAGCAATCCTAGTTTTTTCCCACTGGCCAATCCTTCGCTGCATTACACCATCGAGCAGCTCCGCTCTATTAAGATGGGCTAGGGAATAGCAGGGGATTCCCGATAGCGAGTAGAAGTTTGAGTGACCGAAAATGCATTCTGCGCGCGGCCTAGCATCATAAGTTGGGCTCCCGAGTATGCGCTGTGTCTCTTGTGCAAATAATTTGCTACATCTAGAAAGCACGTTGAAGTGGACTACGGTAACAAAGTTGGTAATGCATCGCAGTCTTCTTGTTGTAGTAAGCAGAAGCCTTCTTACAAACTTTGTCGTTATATAGTAGCCCAAGTATTAACTAAGGCAAGTCGCTACATTCCACAAAGCAAATAACTACTGCCTCCCACTTCAAACCCATCCTTGCTTGCTCACCCGTGTTGCAATCACCTTCTGGCCGCTTCCTGCAAGAAGGTGCGACCAAGTCCGTGCCACGTGACGGGGATGAAGGCACCCCACCTTACTAGCGTGAATTGGGATTAGTAGCCCTTGTATTAGCGGACTCGGCGAGGTGGTTCTGGGCCCTCCCCTTCCCCTCCCATATGCCGAAGCGATTGCCTGAAGGTTAGTAGGATGCGTCAGACACCCTTGCATTCAAGCAGTGACTGTTCCAGGAGTAATGCAACCCCTGCTATACTTTGCGTGCAACTGAATCCTTACAGTACTGCCGTAACGTAACTAATTAGATAATTTGTGTGCATTGCGTCATGCTGGGCGTCACCAGTGTTTAGCCGCGCGAGTGGTAGCAGATGGGCCTCTTCGCGCAAGATTGCAGGCAACAGAACGATCACGTCAACGTTAGCATGCTCACAAGCCATGGTCAAGGCCAGGCACGAGGGACACCAACAAGCCCAGCTCTGTAGGAGGGCTTGTGCAACCGCAGTCATTAGCACCTACGGAATCTGGTCCCGAATGACTATAGCATGTATAGTTACGGCCGCAGGAGAAGTCCCGACACAGAAAAAAGAATGCAAGTGGGGTGCACATGGAGAAGACGGTGATATCAAAAGTTAACGCTATTGCCTGCCACAACTGCATGCCCCCACCCCCCAGAACAATTCACATTAAACACAAGTTGTTTGGGTCTAGAGCAAAGGTTCGCGTGTCAAAAACATGAATTGACCCTCCTCTTACTGAATAAAATAACTCCGCATCAGCACTATGAACCGCCTTTCGCTATCGAACCCGCCCAGATAGATCCATTACCCATAATCTAACCGTTCAACTACAAGATGTAACTTGTCATGCTGTAATAATCAGATCTTGAATGGTGGCTATCCGTAGTGGCCTGAGAGTAGGACTTCTTGCTTGTGGATACTGATGCGCCTGAGTTTGATGCGTGAAGGAATTGTGTCTGCATTGTCTTGCACTCCTTGACAGTCTTGTGAAACCGGATCTCCGACGGCATGTTCACATGAGAAGCCTGAAGGGACGGCAAAGTTGGACGCTGTGAGGGACTAAGTGTGTCGGTCGCGCTTTGCTCTTGGAATAGTAGCTTTTTTGCTTCTTACACGATCCCCTTTATGTTTTCATCCATCATTTCTCTGTCCAGTATTAGCCAAATCTTAGTGAGATAGAATGTGTGGCAAGGAACGTACGGCTTTATCAATAGTATGTGAATTGATACCCATTCACCATTCACCACGAATTGGACGAATTCTGGGTATTCAAGATGCTAAAAATAAGGCCTGCCATCGAGTGGAGAATACCGAACTTGGTTCAAGTTCACTGGTATCGAACCCATCTTGATTGTATAGATGTTGTCATTGCCAGACAGGAAACTGGCTGCTGCGTCCTCAAATAGGGCATCCTCATTGTGAGTTCTTCCTCTGCTGTATCATGCGGCACAGTTCTCAGACGCGTGCATGAACCCGATATGGCACACTAGCCATGGTTACGAGCGAAATTTGATGGCATTGACTAGGGAATGAGCGACTCCGTAAGCAGCTTGGAATGTCGCTCGGGCTTGTCGCGCAGCGTGATCCAAGTGCCCACGTGGCTCGGTCGCGTACGCAAGTACGTATGTATCGTCCGCCCGGTAAGCAGCTTATAGAAGAGTCACTAGAGCAGATTAGGCAAGGCTGTCATCCCACAACGCGTAAACGAGCCTAACTCCATTACGAAGCTGCGTGCACAGGGTAAGTTGGTATTTGTGAACGCTACTAACTAGCTCCTCCTACAACGTCCGCCGACTAGGAGGAGAGGATGCCACAACAAACGGAAACAGCGTTATGCATAAGAAAATTTCATAAAACATTGTGCATGTGGAGTAGTCCGCTCTGTGGATCGTTGCTCTCTTTATCTGCTGTGCTTTTGTGTGAGCGGCTTTCATTTTCTGCGGGCATCAGTCTAGTGAGCTCAAAATCAGCGATTGGTATACCACGATTGCCAGCATCTGGTTCGATACCGGCAGACGCCATTGTTCGAGTAGGAGGAGGAGATTGATATCGGAATCGTGATCGGGACCGCGATTGGGGTTGGTTAGGTATGTTGAATCCTTCAGCGGTATAATTAAGAAAAATCAAAGAATTTGTGTTACTCTGGTTGCCACGCCGTGGGACACGATTGTATAGACAGAGCGTACCACACGAAGCATATGAGCCTTATACCAGAGCTATCGCGTAGTTCTAATTTTTCACAAGATTTCATGAATTGGACCTGAAATACGATCGCGCAGCGGCCACAGATGAACGGCTCTAGCGCAGAACCTTCCAAGCACATGCTAAGGTTTTGGTTGCGAATGATGACGTCGAGTGGGGCGCCACCTTCTGCCCATCATTATACGCTAAGGTTGGCGAAGTACTACTTCGAGCGCCATATGCTGAGCTTTGGAGCTTACTGTTCATCCCTTAACATATATCTCCATGAATGCGTCAGTAGCATAGGTGAGCCGGAGCGGGATCATCCTACTGTTGGACGACTAGTTAAATGGTTTAAGAGTCCTACAACGCTCAGCTCTGTAGAAGCAGGCTGACCACATGAATACCATTCCTGTATTTCCGCACTATAGATACATGCGATTCTATGCCATCTCTATGGGTAGCCCTTCACTAAGCTTTACTGTCGGCAAACCATCGACTTAGGTTAACGCACTCAACTAGGTAGTGAACAGAGACAGTGGCTATTTGTCAACTACAGCACTAAGCCTGTCGCCACGATACCTACGAAATCACGTGGAGGACACTAAGTAAGTGGCTTCTAGAGTCGTGCAAACAGCAGCCATGTTCAAAATGATCAAGGGTACAAGGGTTTATCATGGCTGTTCTGGTGAACGAGCACTTAGCAGGGGTGACACCAGCCTTCCCAAAACGCGGTGCATTGTCAATCCGACAATGGATGCATCCGTGTCCAGCATGCCCTGTCTTTGGTTCGTGTGACGACTAGGGCCTGCAAGGACTACTTATCGCTAGTGTCTGTGCTTACCCTACTAGCTTTTTCCAACTCTTCGGGACGTTGAGGTCCACTCTATTTGAAGGCCCACACATTGTGACTGGCATAATGCTGTGGCCGAGGTTCAAACTGATTATGCTTATGGCTCAGCATGTTTCCTTCAATCAAGATTTGTGACCATGCTAAGAGCCACTACGCCAATGCCTAAGACCCACTATACTTGAACATCTTTACATTGCTGTTTTTAGTACGGCCTTAATACCAACTGCTTATCCGTAGACTTGGGATAGTTTTAATTTCAATCTGTTACTTGGCTTGCCACGCAAAAGTGTAGCATCCATCACAAGCGGCTACGATTCCTTAGAATAAGTTTTTTTTTTAATTATCTATTCATGGCGAACAGGAAGTACAAAAACCCATCTCAAGCTAGAGAGGCACGTAAAGTGTGCAATAGGGAAGCGCAGCGAAGATATAGAGAGTATGTGTTTATTGTAAGCTGGTCAAGTGTAGCCCGAGCGCCTTCTAAATTTCGCGTAGAAAGCTAAAGATGAAGAGAATGACTTCATACGCTTCTCCATCAGACAGCACGGCAAGGGAAGAGACTGAAGAAGAACCGCCATCTTCCGTCGATGCTCCAGGAGCTAATGCACAAGAAGACTCGACCGATATGGAGAACATCTCCAATCAAAGAAGAGAGCCAGATCCATTCAGCACATCACTCACACCGTTGGAGCGCGTGGCTAGGATTGAACAAGACATTGACAGACTCTTGATCAGCGTCGAAGACCCAAACGTTGAGAAGTCTTTACAGGGCCCTATTGCGCGCGTCAACCCTAGATTCAAAGGTCTCGTCAGCCGAGTATACCAAGGTCAGCAACCTGCTGTACAGCAAAAACCTTCGATCGTTCCAAAAATTCAGTACCATCCGCATGCATCTACTTCGGGTTGGAGTGAAACATATGGCGTGTCTGAGGATACAATTCGATCGCTCATTTCGCATATGTACGAATACAGAGTCTGGCAGGAGCGTAGGGAGATTGTGCAGTTGTGTGAACAACTGGAGAAGGCGAAGAATCGGATGATTTAAGAACTGTTATGGAGCTCAAATATACTTGTGTACATATCGCCTGAGTAGTAATCTGATGGTTGGACTAACCTCCTTGCTTCATGTGCGTTACCTGCTCCACCACTAAGGTTGACATACAAAAACATTGTGCGTACACTACCACTACGATGATGACCTGTAGCAAAAGAGTCACACTTAATATTGTAGTGCCGTACAGTTGGCTGTAGATTCTGTAAATATTGATAAGGTATGCGACGCCCTAGTAAGGCTCTTCAATGTGTCTGTGTGTCTGTGTGTTCAGATTTTACGTCCTATCTGAAGGCTCCCATGGGGTGAGGGTCTCCCATGTAATTGTCGTAAGGCCTTATCGAAATTCAGCGATGCAAAGTCCGATCTAAGGGAAGTAGACATACCACGGCTGCTCTGTTGTAGGACCAAACTGACCAAGATTTTGAGATGAATAAGTCACGTCGCGAGATCTGATATCTGACTCGAATGGGTGATGCCTGCCTCTCTGTGGCGGTTCCAAAGTGCGCTTCTTTGTATTCTCCTGCGTCTTTGTCCACTTCCACACTTCTTCCATCACTTTCGCACACTTTTCGTGTCTTCCCCTCCACATTTCATCCCTCTTCCTCCACTCTTCTTCCCTCCTCCTCGATTCTTCTTCCCTCCTCCTCAGTTCCTCTCGAAGTTGCTGTGATATTGTTTTCACCTCGCGCAATATGGCATTCGCTTCGTTGGTTTCCTTTCTTGCCTCGATATACAGCTCCACCAGTTGCTTCAACAATCTCGTCAGTGAAGCAGGTGTTTCATCAGTGCTTGACGTTGGCGCGTCATTCCTCGGCAAGTTGCTGAACACAAGTCAGCCACTCTCTAACTTCATAGCTTTCAAATAGATCAGAGATAGGCTGCTTACCCTGTTGAATGTGCTATGCCATTACCATTGACCAAAGGTGGTATCGGCGAATTGATGTGGTTGGCAGTGCTATCGGGAAATCCGTCTTGACCATAAATCGGAGTGTCTAGCAGGAAGGATTGGTGGTCGAATTGAGCCATGGTGGTATCTAACAACAGCGAAGATGATGACTGAACAGCATGGGAGCTGGATATTTGTGCTATCGCCCTTATTGTGCCAACCGTGCCGTTACACCGTATTGAGCACCATCCCCTACGACGGGACGTGTTGGGGCACGATGTGGGGATGACTATACGGTCGACAGTGGATCTCCATACAACAATAGGAATAGTCTGGGAAGAACAAAGGACGTAATGTGCATAACAGTCATCCAAATCAACAATCTTTGATGATTACATACAGAAGAAAGCGCGGAATTGGGCTCTTTGTGAGAAAGCTGAGTTGTTCTAGCCTTCAAGATAGGGTCAGCATCATGTAACGGTGGTTTCAGCAATGGCTACGCATCAGCAGGTCGCGAGAACATGCCTATGAATTTGTGGCGGCCAGGAAGCATGCCACCGTAAGAGTGTCAGACTTTCCACCAAGTGTAGCAATTCACTCACTACCGGATACAGGAAAAACGAGGTTTGTGTGCACTGGGGAACGGCAGGGCCAAGGTTCCGCACAGGCTCACCGGACCGCTACCTCCGGAACTGTATCGCTACAACTTCTAAAAGAACTACCGTAATGGAAGCCTATACGGAGAGCCCGCGTGAGGATTTTCTCATAAGTTTGAACAAATATGGGGCGAGATATCGTATGCTGACAGGGTGGTTGCCCTTGCTGTGTGAACCCACATGTCTGCACACGCTCGCATGCATGAACGATCACGTGGATCACATGAATCAGGGAGATTGCGTCATGGACGTTTGCCGCACACAGAAGTGAGCAAATCTACCGAACGACCTGCTTACGCCAACCGAACGCCGGCCATAACAGAGTAAGCAGGTCCATCAGTGCCGATTGAGTATGGTGTTTCCAATGACGGCCCCTGCTCGCAATCGCAGTGAGCCTATCGGTCTTGCTTTTCGTTCGCAGTGGATGCCAACACCTTCCTTGAATCATCCGGAGTCATGTTCTGCGTCTTTGCGGCACAGCAGCCTCGCACGATTTCGTGACAAGTATGAACTGGATGGGGTTAGTGCTGAAGTCGGTAATAGGGGGAAAGATGTTTAGGCCGTGTAGAGTCCGTGCAGGTGCTGTCCATCGTGCCCGGACCCAAGAACACTCAGCAGACTGGAAAATTAATCTGCAAGGGCGCGGAACGATTGTCTGCATGTTATCTTGGCAACTCTGCCCGCTGGGGACAAGCGTGGTAGCTTACGCCATCGCCTCGAGGGCCGGGGAACGCCGCCTCGGCAATTCCGGGAGCCGCGCGCCAGTCTCGCCACTCACATCTTGTGCCAGTGAAATGAGATGTGGGTCGTGCATCAAACGTCAGTGGTTCGCGGTAGATCAAATACGTCAACACACCGAGGCTGTCCCGATCAACTCCGCGGATACTGTAGTGATAGGCTAGAATTTTGTAAGTTCGTAAAGTGGCGACATATTAGGCTGGAGTAGAAAGTACGAGCTATACTGTATAGAGTGTAGCTTCCGTTGAGATTGCTAAACAGTCTAGTATTTCTCAGATAAACCAAGGATAAAGTCACCCGAAGTCGAGCCTGGTCATCATTTTTAGCGTCTCCACATACTAGTTACAAAGCTATTACCAGCAAACCCCAGTATCACCTTCATAATCCTGATTACCGTCAATATCATCAGAATGCTGCGCCGCATTTTTGCAGGACCTGCAACAATTCGAGCTCCAGTCTAGATGCCTCTGCCGTTATCACGCTTGCTTCTTATTCGCCTAAACATCGGAATCACAACCATGTTTTCGAGAACAACTGTGCCGTTAGAAGCGGAGAAGGCGATAGCGGATATAGTAATACTGATAAGGCAGCACGAGCAGAGATGAGTTCACAAGCATGCAAACAGCCCATCGGACCTTCACTCAGGCCAGCCCGCTCTTCGAAGCGCAGACGAAGAGATTGATGGATGTCTCCAGAAACACTGATAACTAGTGTCAACTGCTCGCCTTTGGATTTAGGCTTGTGCCTCAGTCGCCACTGCCTAAGGTAGAAATTTACGAGCGCTAAAACAGCCCCCACTGGGCACTTGCATCTGCTACTCTCTGCATGATCCATATCTTCGGTTTACAGCAGCCGATTTATGTACCGAGCCTTCGCGGACGAGCGCAATGCATAGTTAGTGGATAATATTTCCTAAACAAGGTAGAGTTTGTGAATCGCACAGTAGGAACGGTAGTTGCCAGGTTCATGCGCCACCTGTGATTAATGAGAGTGAGTGTCAAAGGCTCAGTTAGCACGCAAGCAGCGCTAGACTTGAACAATTCGCGTTCACCCTTACTACCTAAAACGGCATGGCGACTATTGAGTATATATCTCTATACATTCGTGAAGGCTCATGTGACGTTGCGCGTAAAGTTACCAACTACTTTGAAATACGTCACCGTGTCAGATCACAGACTGCTTCTCATGCGTCTTCGCTCAGCAAGCATATGCTGTTCATGCCATATGAGCAGCAAACGCGGGGAGCGTGCCGAGTCTAGTGCGTCATAACCTTGTTGAAGCCCGGTGGCAGGTAGGAGAGTACTCAGTGAATAACACGGACCATCGACCATCCCGCCTCTCTTGTAAGTTACGCACATTCTGCTTCTCAAATAAAAGAGGTTTGTACGACTGATAAGCGACATGCAAGAGCGTGAGCGAAAAGTATATATAGGTGTTATCCATGCATCAGCAAATAGCTGACGTGCATGGCGATGGTTACGGGCACAGTGCTAGCTATATGAAACTTTTGCTGTCCTGGGTTCGACACACAAGCTTACGAACTAACTTATAATGGCTATACCGATTGTTTTGCTCCTTTTCAGCGCTCCGTGGGGTCGTGGTGAAGCCCAGTCTCATAATGCGCCTGCGGCGCCTGTCGTCGAGCAGTATTGCTTTCCCAAATCGGGGGCTCTCTTTTCTACGGACAGTCTAAGAGCCTTCGGTCACGATAATGTACGGTGGCATGACGCTCACTGCCGCTCCCTTAACCTTGACTATGTACGGAGCGGGACTGCCAACAGGCAGTCCTCATGAGCCTGTAAACTCAGCAGCTATGTCGCGGCCTACAGACGCACCAGCTCTTGCAGATGCTACAGAAACAGGCGCAAACAGTGCAAGACTCATCGCCAACTTCAATTATCGCGGCGATTAATCAGCCTGAGAAGGGAGCAGAAGCAATGGTGCTCTCAGCTGAGCTAATGCGTGATCGGATCGCCAGCCTTGAGAGAGCTAATGAGGCAGCAACAAACCGTAGGCAGCGCAAAAGAAAGCGGATACAGAAGCAAGGAATACTAACAAAGGGAGCTGGAGAGGATCTACTCGCTCAGCACGAGGCTGATCAGCAGATTGCTCATGAAGAGCCAAGGAAGGGAGCGATTAGGTGTGAGCCGCCAGGCTCTAGCACGCTGTAGCATGTGCAGAGAGGCTGGCTATAATGCGTGTACATGCAAGAAAGATGATTTTGGTATTAATTAATCTACTCTGTTAATTCGCAGTTGTTATACTATTGCGTTATTGAAATATATGCCTGCAAAGGTGCGTAAGGTCGGTGGGGTAACCGACTCGCTTATCTCACTAGTCAGACACTCTGGCGATGGGCGACGCGCTAACAGGTAGCGCCACGCTAAACTCCTAAGCCAATCAAAGGGGGAGAAAGGCTTCTACCGCCAGAGGGTCTGAGGAAGTTTGGTTCCTCG